TTGTGTGTTTGTTGTCGTCTGTGTGTGTTGTTCGTACACGCTCGGACTCGGGGTAGTTGTGTGTAGTTGTGTGTTTGTTGTGTGTTTGTTGTGCGTCTGTGTGTGTTGTTCGTACACGCTCGGACTCGGGGGTAGTTGTGTGTTTGTTGTGTGTTAGTTGTGTGTTTGTTGTGCGTCTGTGTGTGTTGTTCGTACACGCTCGGACTCGGGGGTAGTTGTGTGTTTGTTGTGTGTTTGTTGTGCGTCTGTGTGTGTTGTTCGTACACGCTCGGACTCGGGGGTAGTTGTGTGTTTGTTGTGTGTTTGTTGTGCGTCTGTGTGTGTTGTTCGTACACGCTCGGACTCGGGGGTAGTTGTGTGTTTGTTGTGTGTTTGTTGTGTGTTTGTTGTGCGTCTGTGTGTGTTGTTCGTACACGCTCGACTCGGGGTAGTTGTGTGTTTGTTTGTGTGTTGTGCGTCTGTGTGTTTGTTCGTACACGCTCGGACTCGGGGGTAGTTGTGTGTTTGTTGTGTGTTTGTGTGCGTCTGTGTGTGTTGTTCGTACACGCTCGGACTCGGGTAGTTGTGTGTTTGTTGTGTGTTTGTTGTGCGTCTGTGTGTGTTGTTCGTACACGCTCGGACTCGGGGGTAGTTGTGTGTTTGTTGTGTGTTGTGTGTTTGTTGTGCGTCTGTGTGTGTTGTTCGTACACGCTCGGACTCGGGGGTAGTTGTGCGCCAGCAGGAAGCGTTCGACCCAGTTGTCCATGTTCTGCAGGACCCAGCTGTGGGCCAGTTTGTTCCTCGGGGTTTGGACGGCGAGCCAGTCCAGACACTGAGACGGGTTATACTCGATCACCTGCAACAGACACACCGTTAGACCTGGTTTAGTCCTGGTTTAGACCTGGTTTAGTCCTGGTTTAGACCTGGTTTAGACCTGGTTTAGTCCTGGTTTAGACCTGGTTTAGTCCTCCTGGTTTTAGTCCTGGTTTAGACCTGGTTTAGTCCTGGTTTAGTCCTGGTTTAGACCTGGTTTAGTCCTGGTTTAGTCCTGGTTTAGTCCTGGTTTTAGACCTGGTTTAGACCTGGTTTAGACCTGGTTTAGACCTGGTTTAGACCCGGTTTAGACCCGGTTTTAGACCCGGTTTTTAGACCTGGTTTAGTCCTGGTTTAGTCCTGGTTTAGTCCTGGTTTAGTCCTGGTTTAGTCCTGGTTTAGTCCTGGTTTAGACCTGGTTTAGACCTGGTTTAGACCTGGTTTAGTCCTGGTTTAGACCCGGTTTAGACCCGGTTTAGTCCTGGTTTAGTCCTGGTTTAGTCCTGGTTTAGACCTGGTTTAGTCCTGGTTTAGTCCTGGTTTAGTCCTGGTTTAGACCTGGTTTAGTCCTGGTTTAGTCCTGGTTTAGTCCTGGTTTAGACCTGGTTTAGTCCTGGTGTACACTTGGTTTGGGCCTTTTTAGTCCTGATTCAGTGCTGGTTTTAGACCCGGTTCAGTCCTAAACATGGACTTGGCATGGATTCTGGTTTAGTCCACATTTTGCCCCTTGTTAGTCCCGGTTTATTTATGTTCTTCTTCGGGGCTCTGGGACTGAGACGTATAAAAATAAAGTCCTTTAGTCGTCCAAAAGTCCAGAGATTCTGAGTTAAGTCTGAGTCCAGGGGCGCGGTCTGAGTCCAGGTGGTCTGAGTCCAGGTGGTCTGAGTCCAGGTGGTCTGAGTCCAAGTGGTCTGAGTCCAGGTGGTCTGAGTCCAGGCGCTCGTACCTCCCAGATCCTCTGGAGGATGTAGGAGGCGAAGGAGGGCATCCCTGGAGGTCCTCCTGCAAACTCCATCAACATCGTCAGGAGCTTAAAGAACGGGTTGGCCGCCTGAACACCAACACACACACAAACACAAACAAACAAACACACACACAGATGTTTACGTGTTTATTCACTTTTGTGTTTTATTTAGACTTTTTGATCAGACACTCACCTCTGGAGTTAGTTTTGCGATAGACGTGAAAAGCATCGACACGATCTGCAAGAATCACAGAAGGTTCAGAGAGTTTCACAGTGAAGTGCAGAACCACGACGAGCGCTGATGACGACGCAGCAGAACCAGAGAACTTACAGGTCAGAATCATTCATTCATTTGTTTTTCAAAATAAATTCAAAAATAAGAAAACAAAAAAAACTAATATTTTCTTCATTATTTGTCTGAAAAACCTAAATAAAAAAAACAGATAATGATTCGTTTTTTCAGTTTTCGATTTTGTGTTTAAATGAAAAATGGAAAAAAAAACAGGTCTGGGACAAGACCAGAACCAGACCGGGAATAAGACCAGGACTTAGACTGGGACCAGACCGGCACCAGGACCGAGTCTGGGACTAGACCGGGACCAGACCGGGACTGAAAACGGTTTAGTCCTGGTTCAGTCCGTTATCCATTTTTTCCATTTTTCATTTAAACACAAAATTGAAAAAACAAATCTTTATCTGTTTTTTTAATTTGATTTTGGAGACAAATAATGAATTTTTTTTTTTCATTTTCTTATTTTTGATTTTATTTCGACAAACAAATGTATTTATTTATTTAATGAAACTGGGACAGCGCACGATTTTTACATAAACTTAACAGGAGAAATGTTTGTACCAGGTTGTGTGTGTGTGTGTGTGTGTGTGTGTGTGTGTCTGTGTGTGTGTGTGTGTGTGCATGTGTGTGTGTGTGTGTGTGTCTGTGTGTGTGTGTGTCTGTGTGTGTGTGTGTGTCTGTGTGTGTGTGTGTGTGTGCTGTGTGCTGTGTCTGTGTGCGTGTGTCTGTGTGCTGTGTCTGTGTGCGTGTGTCTCTGTGTGTGACATGTGTCTCTGTGTGCATGTGTCTCTGTGTGTGTCTCTGTGTGCATGTGTCTGTGTGCATGTGTCTCTGTGTGTGCATGTGTGTCTCTGTGTGCATGTGTCTCTGTGTGTGTGTGTGTGTGCATGTGTCTCTGTGTGTGTGTCTGTGTGTGCGTGTGTCTCTGTGTGTGTGTGTGTGTGTGTGTGTGTGTGCTGTGTGTGTGTGTCTGTGTGTGTGTGTCTGTGTCTGTGTGTGTGTGTGTGTGTGTGTCTGTGTGTGTGTGTGTGTGCTGTGTGTGTGTGTGTGTGTCTGTGTGTGTGTCTGTGTGTGTGTCGTGTGTCGTGTGTCTCTGTGTGTGTGTCTGTGTCTCTGTGTGCATGTGTCTCTGTGTGTGTCATGTGTCTCTGTGTGCATGTGTCTCTGTGTGTGCATGTGTCTGTGTGCTGTGTGTGCATGTGTCTCTGTGTGTGTGTGTCTGTGTGTGTGTGTGTGTGCATGTGTGTGTGTGCGTCTCTGTGTGCGTGTGTCTCTCTGTGTGCGTGTCTCTGTGTGTGCATGTGTCTCTGTGTGTGAATGTGTCTCTGTGTGTGCATGTGTCTGTGTGTGCATGTGTCTCTGTGTGCATGTGTCTGTGTCATGTGTCTGTGTGTGTGTGTGTCTGTGTGTGCGTGTGTCTGTGTGTGCGTGTGTCTGTGTGCGTGTGTCTCTGTGTGCGTGTGTCTGTGTGCATGTGTCTGTGTGTGCGTGTGTGCTGTGTGTGCATGTGTGTGTGCTGTGTGTGTGTGTGTGTCTGTGTCTGTGTGTGCTGTGTGTGTCTGTGTGTGTGCTGTGTGCTGTGTGTGTGTGCTGTGTGCATGTGTGTGCATGTGTCTGTGTGTGTGTCATGTGTGTATGTGTGCATGTGTCTGTGTGTGCATGTGTCTGTGTGTGCGTGTGTGTGCATGTGTCTGTGTGTGTGTCATGTGTCTCTGTGTGTGTGTCATGTGTCTGTGTGTGTGTGTAAGTGTCTCTGTGTGTGTAAGTGTCTCTGTGTGCATGTGTCTCTGTGTGCATGTGTGTGTCTCTGTGTGCATGTGTCTGTGTGTAAGTGTCTGTGTGTGCATGTGTCCCGTACATGTTCTGCGAGTCGGTTGTTGTAGCGACACAGGCTGAAGATCAGGTTGCAGGTTTGTCGGATGTTGATTCCGTCTCTGATGTGCTGAAACAGAAAGGGGAATCCTTTTCCTCCGGTCAGCGCCGCCATGTCGCTCTGGGACAGAGTCAAGTGTCTGAACAGGACACAGCAGAGACACACAAAATTAAAATACATACCGTATTTTTCAGATTATAAAGGGCACTGGATTATAAGGAGCATTAAGTGAAACAAACGGACGACACTTGAGAGCGATCCTGAGTCCAGGCGTCCGCGATCCGTCGGCAGATCGCGGCGTCGACTTTTTGTTTTGGTGTGTTTTACTCCGCAAGTCTCCTAACGGCGGCAGACGAAACGCTCCGACCATCCACGACGCGGCGCGGCTTCGTAGCAGAGCCCGGCACCCGCGGGACCCGACGCAAAACAGTGCGGCGCGGGACACATTGTGAAAGCTCAGTGTGGGCGCGGGCGGGAGCGGGCGGGAGCAGGACTAAACAAAGCAGGAGCAGGCAGGTGGGACCATAAACTACAGTTTGCACTCAAAAACTAAATATGAGAGTAAAGCAAAATATACAAATGATTCATGTTTGTTTATTTGACTCTTTGGTGTGAACGACCCTTTAGTCAGACAAATGTTTCCTTTTTGGTTCTTCCTGTGGATCAATCCTGCCCATCACCTTCACCTTTCACTATTTTTCAATTCCGTTGGGAAGAGAAACAGTTTGAACAGAGGTTTGAGTCACACACATCTGATTCACTTTTACACTTATGAAGTTCACAAACACATTTCTCGAGTCGTTTTCCGCTGTTAAGATCCAACAACCACAAAATTAACAACGTCCGAATCCCAAAACTAAAATATGACAATATCAGAACCAGAAACAAAAGTGAAATGGTTCAAAAGACTTGAAAAGATCCACTTTGTCAATAGACACGTCCCACTGGGAAAACAAACATGGAGGTTTGACTTCACTTTTTCAGAAAATCCTTCCCCGTATGAATTGTGCGATGACCTGAAGTCCAAAATTCGGGAGTGGTTTGTTCACTGACCTCTCAGATCTGGACTGCTCCACTAACAGAGCGATGAGAGCGATCATCTTCTCCAGAGCCGCAGGTCGATACTTCTCCTCCGCCAAAGACAAGATGTCCTCCTCCTCGTCCTCCTCTTCGGCCTCCTCCTCCGACAGAACCTCCACCTGCGGCTGCAAACGGCCCAGAGTCTCAACACAACCTGCCAAAGACTGAACCAAAAACTCCCGCCAACAAACTTTCAATCTCACGTTTTCTGGCCCTTTGGTTCCCATGTAGAAGTGCACCATGATGGAGATGGCTTGAAGCGACAACAAAAACTGACTCTGTGTAAAAGAAAGCGAAAAGGTTACGATATAAAACCGCAGGAGTGTTCGGAGCGGCGTGTGGAGCGGCGGCGTCTCACCTCCTCCTCCCCCATCTTGGCGAACTCGTAGAGGAAGGCGAAATACTCGGTGAGGTGTTTGCTGTGCGGTTTGACTCCGTGCTCCATGATGGACAGCAGCGTTTTCACGAAGCGCGTCACACAAGAGCGGCTCCCGATGTCCTCCACAGGCCCGTCCATGTCGTCAGAACTGAGGAAATACACGAAACGGCAGAACAAACATCAAGGTTAGACAGAGTTTAACGTTAAACGGTTCATGTTACTTTTCTCTGATCCGTGTTCTAATGTCGTTTCCTTGTTTTGTTTCATTCACATGTTTAAACACACAAACCTGCACATTTAGACTTTAGAGTTCGTCTCTCAAACTGAAAACACTCTGTTGGACCAGGTCCAGCAGAAGTAAACAACAAGACCAAAACTTCAAGTGAATTCATCTGATATAAAAGTGTATTGAACAGATACATATGTACTCGAGTTTATCAAACTGTTGACCTTTTTTCTGTTCCATTTTTGGTTCTAAAGTTCCAGACGTTTTAAACAGACCATGAATGAAACATGGAACAAAAATTATTTCCCAAATTTCAAAGACCTGAAAATCATGTAAATAAATGTTTGTATTTCATCATATCTTGTGTTATTCCATCTTTGAACTGTTGATGAAGGGACAGGATTTAAAAAAAATATGTATTTAAAATAAAAAAAATGTTCTTGGAAGGACTGACATATTTTATAGAAATAGTTTCTTTCATTTTGAAGTAATATTAAAGTATTTGGAAGAAAAAAGCCACAAATGATGTAAAATCCTGCAGCTTCTACTTGTTTGTACAATTTTCCCTCCGTTACTTTTCCCTCCGTTACCATGAACTTTATTAATAAAAAATCTCATGAGTCAAAAAGTCAGAGGTTTTTCAACCTAATCTTGTACCATATGGTAGAAAACTATATGAAGCAAATATTCAAACCAGTTTGTTAAGGATATGGAAGTGAGAACCAAGAGTTATCACTGTTTGGATTTATTGACCAAAAAGTGCTGCATATTTCATTCCCTCCGTTACCAACATGAGTTTTTTAATTTTTTGTCTTGAACTTGAAAGAATCTCACAGGTTTAACTTGACCCTGTTGGAGTGTAACTCTTTCCTACATTCTGATACTTTACTTATTTCAATAGTTCCTCTAGTTTCTGAATAAGAGACATTTGAATGTCAAAAATCTGACCCTGTTTCCCTCCGTTAACACTTGACCGGACCCTGTTCCACCTTGTGATGTCACGTGGTGACACAGGAAGTGCTCCGTTGTGTTTTTAAACTCCACACCTCATCACTAGTTTGGATTTGGATATTTTGGATCAGTTCAGCCCTGGAACTGTCGATCTCGACTGAACTCAAAAGGTAAAAAGGAGCTGTGAACTTGAAAACTTCATGACATCACAAGGTGGAACAGAGCGTTTTGAGCTTTGAAGATGTAAACAGACAAATAATAAAGAGTTAATGAAACACAAGTCCAGGTCTGTTTGTGAGGAGGGAACAACATTAGAACACGAACCAAAGCTCAAATGAGTCCGTTTTTGCGATTTTGACCTTTAATTATTACATTAATAGTTTTGAATTAAATAGTTTAGTTTCCATATGAAATCAGCCATGTTCAAGTCCCCCCCCCCTCCTCTTTTCGAGCTCTGTGGCGCCGCTCGTATTTCCCAGAATCCCCTGCGTTAGAGAAACCAGGCGACACGCGGCTCGGCTCCTGTCGCCGTCGATATTCACAAACACAGAACTGTCATCTGTGTCGAACACCTACAACGGCCAAAAACAAAACCAGGTCTAAACCTGGACTAAACCAGGTCTAAACCAGGTCTAAACCAGGTCTAAACCAGGTCTAAACCAGGACTAAAACAGGACTAAAACAGGTCTAAAACAGGTCTAAACCAGGACCAGGACCAGGACCGGTGGTTTTGGTCTCACCCGTCCTCCATCCCCGGCTGCAGATACAGATGAGCGTGAACAGGCCTCAGTCTCTGGATCACGTGAATACACAACCTCTGGAACATCTGCAGGAAAACGAGAAGAAGAGAAGGTCAGAAGGTCAGAGGAGAAGAGGAGAAGAAGAGAAGGTCAGAAGGTCAGAGGAGAAGGTCAGAAGGTCAGAGGAGAAGAGGAGAAGGTCAGAGGAGAAGAAGAGAAGGTCAGAAGGGTCAGAGGAAACGAAGGTCAGAGGAACAGAGGAGAAGAGAAGAAGGTCAGAGGAGCAGAGAAGAAGGTCAGAGGAGCAGAGGGTCAGAGGAGACTGACCTGTCTGACGATCTGATTGGGACATTTAATCAGAATCTGCATCGGCCACCAGTTGTCGTCCGCCATCCGATCCAAAAACCACTGCAACAAACAAACAGAGTCACCGTGACGTCCCTGAAGTCCCACTTTCCTTTTCCTAAAACGGAACTCGGCTCCAGACTGTCCCCTGTGACCGCTCGCCTCGATGAGCTTCACTTGACTGGAGCTGAACTGTCTTAGTTGTTAGAGAAAAGCAGAGCAGGTGTTGTACCTCGCAGGCGGCCTGGCTGTTGTTGAACTGTTTGGTGAGGAGTTCGATCCACTGCAGCATCGTGGGCTGAAGACGAGAGCGAAGGATTAAAAACCTCAAACAAACTTCATTCATCTGCTCACATTTCATCTCTTCAGACTCTTTAGTTTTACCTTCTCCTTGGAGTGAATGAAGGTTTCAAGTACAAATGAGGTGCTCAACTGCAAAAGACAAACAGACAGTTAGAGTCTGGGATAAAACCTGTGGAAAATATTAATTAAGAAAAAATACTGAATTCATTTTTGCAGTACTAATATATTTGTTCAATATTTTTATGCAGTGAGTAATAAACACGACGAGAGCCCGGCCGATATATCGGTTGGCCGATAATGAGCACCTGGAAGCATATCGGCTATCGGTCGATATGTTTGCTGACAGGGGCCGATATTTCCCGTGGGCAGGTTATACGTCGTTATAAAGTTTAGACTCTTTACATTCTGTTCATTTAATCCAATTTACAGACAGATAAATGTTCAAATATGTAGGAGAAGAGGAGAAGGTCAGAGGAGAAGAGGAGAAAGTCAGAGGAGAAGAGGAGAAAGTCAGAAGGGTCAGAGGAAAAGAAGGTCAGAGGAACAGAGGAGAAGGTCAGAGAGAGAGGAGAGAGAGAAGAGTAGAGGAGAAGAGGAGAAGGTTAGAGGAGAAAGAAGGTCAGAAGGAGGAGAAGAGGAGAAGAGGAGAAGGTCAGAGGAGAAGAGAGAGGTCAGAGGAGGAGAGAAGGTCAGAGGAGAGAGGAGAAGGTTAGAGGAGAAGAGGAGAAGGTTCAGAGGAGAGAAGAGAGGAGAAGAGGAGAAGGTCAGAGGAGAAGAGGAAAGGTCAGAGAGGTCAGAGGAGAGGAGGAGAGGAACAGAGGAGGAGAAGGTCAGAGGAGAGGAGAAGGTCAGAGGAGAAGAGGAGAAGGTCAGAGGAGGAGAAGGTCAGAGGAGAAGAGGAGAAGGTCAGAGGAGAAGAGGAGAAGGTCAGAGGAGGAGAAGGTCAGAGGAGAAGAGGAGAAGGTCAGAGGAGAAGAGGAGAAGGTCAGAGGAGAGGAGAAGGTTAGAGGAGAAGAGGAGAAGGTCAGTCAGAGAGTTCTGATCTGTGTATTTATCTGTGGAGTCATTTGTCTGTGTGTGTGTGTCTGTGTGTGTGTGAGTGTGTGTGTCTGTGTGTGTGTGTCTGTGTGTGTCTGTGTGTGTCTGTGTGTGTGTGTGTGTGTATGTGTGTGTCTGTGTGTGTGTGTGTGTGTGTGTGTGTGTGTGTGTGTGTGTGTGTGTGTGTCGTACTGTCCCTGAACACACCACAGAGTCACGTGTGTTTGTTTACACTCGCAGACTAGAGATGTGCGGATTGCGGTTACAACGTGACGAAAAATAATATTTTAATTAAACTGGGGCGGGTGGAGGTTTAACTACTCAAATAAAAAACTCTGAACTCGGAGCAAATGGGAGGAGAGCGAGCGGACGGCGGGCGGGTGCGGTGGACGGCGGGCGGGTGCGGTGGACGCGGGCGGGTGCGGTGGACGGCGGGCGGGTGCGGTGGACGGCGGGCGATGATGAGTTTTGTGATGCGGTTGCGGATGAAAAAGTCGCTTATACGTGCATCTCCATCACAGACACAGATCCATGTGCAACACTGACATTATTCTCTTTTTACGGACAGTCAGTTTGAGTCTGGATTAAAAGGACATTTATTAGTTCAGACTTGTGATGTGGGAGGAGCCTGTGTAATGTGGGAGGAGCCTGTGTGAGCCTGTGTGATGTGGGAGGAGCCTGTGTGATGTGGGAGGAGCCTGTGTGATGTGGGAGGAGCCTGTGTGATGTGGGAGGAGCCTGTGTGAGTGTTGAAACATGTCGACTTTGAAGTTAGTTTTGGTTCGTGCTGATTGGTTATTGATGATCTGTTGTGTCTCACATAAACAGGCTGTTTTCTATTGGTCTGTTGTAAAGTGATTATATTGTCTGTCTCTAAACCGGGTCTAAACCAGGACTAAACCAGGTCTAAACCGGGTCTAAACCAGGACTAAACCGGGTCTAAACCAGGTCTAAACCGGGTCTAAACCAGGACTAAAACCAGGTCTAAACCGGTCTAAACCGGGACTAAACCGGGACTAAACCAGGACTAAATCAGGACAAAATTGGGTCTAAACCAGGACTAAACCAGGTCTAAACCAGGACTAACCAGGTCTAAACCGGGTCTAAACCGGACTAAACAGGACTAAACCAGGACTAAATCGGGACAAAATTGGGTCTAAACCAGGACTAAACCAGGTCTAAACCAGGACTAAACCAGGTCTAAACCGGGTCTAAACCAGGTCTAAACCAGGACTAAACCAGGACTAAACCAGGACTAAACCAGGACTAAACCAGGACTAGATCAGGTCTAAACCAGGACTAAACCAGGTGATGACAATTTGAAACAAAAAAAAATCCTCCATACAACCTTTAACGCAAAATGAACGCGTTAATGTGCTCGCCCATAATTATATTAACTTTCAACATTGTGACGTGAACATAAACGCTGATAAGTTCTGATGTTCTTCTCGATGGCGTTTCTGGTTAAAAAGTGAAGCGCTCGTACCTTTGCAGTCATGAGGGAGACAGACTTTGGGTCTGGTAAAGTGCTGGGGATGCTGCTGCAGAGCTGCCACATGAAGCTGAACAGAAAAAACGTTTCATCAGAACATTCATTATTTACACTCTAATAAACCCGGCGATCGTGAAAACTAAACTCACCCAAAGTACGTGTGCTCAAAGATGTTCTTGTCCTGGAGAAACTGCATGTTGTCGTGCCAGATCCACTGTAACAGAACCACACAGGTGAAGACTAAAGCAAGAACAGGACTTCAGCTCAAACTTATTTTTTACAACAGTAAAGAGAAACCAGAGAGTTTCACCATAAAATCACAAAAACACAAAATAAAAACACGCAAAACATTAAACAATGAAATAAAACAAACTGTACAAAGATTCACTGTGTTAAAAAAGTCTGAACAGAACAGAGTCTGGATTTAAACAGACCAGAGTCAGAGTCTGTCTGGTCCTGAACCAGGACTAAACCAGGACTGAACCAGGACTGAACCAGGACTGAACCAGGACTGAACCAGGACTGAACCAGGACTGAACCAGGACTGAACCAGGACCAGGACTAAACCAGGACTGAACCAGGACTAAACCAGGACTAAACCAGGAACTGAACCAGGACTGAAGGACTGAACCAGGTCTAAACCAGGACTGAACCGGACTAAACCAGGAAACCAGGTCTAAACCAGGAACTGAACCAGGACTGAACCAGGACCAGGACTGAACCAGGACTGAACCAGGACTGAACCAGGACTAAACCAGGACTGAACCAGGACTAAAACAGGACTGAACCAGGACTGAACCAGGACTAAACCAGGACTGACTGAACCAGGACTAAACCAGGACTGAAACCAGGACTGAAACCAGGTCTAAACCAGGTCTAAACCAGGACTGAACCAGGACTAAACCAGGACTAAACCAGGACTACAGGACTAAACCAGGACTAAACCAGGACTAAACCAGGACTAAACCAGGACTAACCAGGACTGACCAGGACTAAACCAGGACTGAACCAGGACTAAACCAGGACTAAACCAGGACTGAACCAGGACTGAACCAGGACTAAACCAGGACTGACCAGGACTAAACCAGGACTAAACCAGGACTAACCAGGACTGAACCAGGACTAAACCAGGACTGAACCAGGAACCAGGACTAACCAGACTAACCAGGACTGAAACCAGGACTAAACCAGGACTGACCAGGACTAAACCAGGACTGAACCAGGACTAAACAGGACCAGGACTGAACCAGGACTAAACCAGGACTAAAGGACCAGGACTGAACCAGACTAAACCAGGACTGAAACCAGGAGGACTAAACCGGACTGAACCAGGACTAAAACCAGACTCCAGGACTGAACAGGACTGAACCAGGACTGAACCAGGTCTAAACCAGGACTAAACCAGACTAAACCAGGACTGAACCAGGACTGAACCAGGACTGAACCAGGTCTAAACCAGGTCTAAACCAGGTCTAAACCAGGTCTAAACCAGGACTGAACCAGGACTGAACCAGGACTGAACCAGGACTAAACCAGGACTGGAACCAACCAGGACTGAACCAGGACTAAACCAGGACTGAACCAGGACTAAACCAGGACTGAACCAGGACTGAACCAGGTCTAAACCAGGACTAAACCAGGACTGAACCAGGACTGAACAGGACTCCAGGACTGAACCAGGTCTAAACCAGGTCTAAACCAGGTCTAAACCAGGACTGAACCAGGACTGAACCAGGACTGAACCAGGACTAAACCAGGACCAGAGCGGGACCAGGGTGGACTCCAAGCTTTGACTCCGAGCCTCAGCTTCGAGCTCCGGCCCTGCTGTGGGCTCTGAGCCTCCGGTCTGGTCCCGGCCTGGTCTTGGTCTCAGTCCCGGCCTCAGTCCCGGCCTCAGTCCCGGTCTGGACCTGGATCAGTCCTGGTTCAGTCCGTACGCAGTGTAAAAGTCCAACATCACAGTCACTGAAGTCACGTAAACGGGAAACGGTCGTTATCCGTTTTTTCCATTTTTCATTTAAACACCAAATCGAAAACTGAAAAAAAAACGAGTCATTATCTGTTTTTTCATTTTTCTTATTTTTGTTTTTTTTAATTGAAAAACGACTGAACGAACGACACACTGATCACGTGACAGTGTTTTTCGTGTGATCTTGAAGCGAGTACCTCGAGCAGATCTGGAGACACGTCGAAGCTGAAGTCTTTCCCGTTGTCCTCCTCCAGCTCCACTCTCTTGTAGAACAGCATGTAGGCACTGTGGGTCTGAGGAGAACACCACACGTCACCACAAAAACAACAACAACAAAACAGAAACTAAACTAAACAGTGATACGACGAGACAAGAGACCGGCCTGGATCCAGATGTTTTATCTGTAGGATTCACTGTGGAGGTCTGAGGCTTTTGACAGAGCGTGAAAACCCGACCCAAGTCCGACGAACACGTGAGCGCGTCAATGTTTCCAGACTCCTGAGTGTTCAAAAGATCAGACTCTGCACTTCTAGTTTACATCCTACGACGAGTATAAGGCTCAGATTAAAAAAAAAAATGATGCTGCCGTTACAAGAATTAAGTCGTAATATTTCGACATTAAAGTCATAATTTTACAAGAGTAAAGTCGTAATTTTACAAGAATAAAGTCGTAATTTTACAGGAATAAAGTCGTAATGTTACAAGAATAAAGTCGTAATTTTACAGGAATAAAGTCATAATGTTACAAGAATAAAGTCGTAATGTTACAAGAGTAAAGTCGTAATGTTACAAGAGTAAAGTCGTAATGTTACAAGAGTAAAGTCGTAATGTTACAAGAGTAAAGTCGTAATGTTACAAGAGTAAAGTCGTAATGTTACAAGAGTAAAGTCGTAATGTTACAAGAGTAAAGTCGTAATGTTACAAGAATAAAGTCGTAATGTTACAAGAATAAAGTCATAATGTTACAAGAGTAAAGTTGTAATGTTACAAGAGTAAAGTCATAATGTTACAAGAATAAAGTCGTAATGTTACAAGAGTAAAGTCGTAATGTTACAAGAGTGAAGTTGTAATGTTACAACTTTCCGGACATAAAAAAATGTTTAATTTAGAGTCTTAGCTAAAAAAAGCACAAAATATCAAGTGTGTAAATAAACTAAAAATCTCCTTATTGCCTCAAAACAAAACAAAAAAAGTGCATTGACCCCGTGACTTGACTGGTGCAGGTCGTGGAAACAGCTGGAGTCACGTCACTTTCTGCATTTCCATGGAGTTTATTACATTTGGATTTGGACATCTTTGATTTTCCTGCAAATTTTTTCACTGCGAATTTAACCCTCTGAATTTTGGCTTTTGAATTTGAGAGCCTGAAAATATTTGTGCTGAATATTTAAAACTAGGGTTGAGTATCATTAAGAAGTTGCGGATACGATACAAACCTCGATACAGTGAGGTTTGATACGATATATTTCATATCGATTCGATACGGTTCAATGAAACTAAAGGCTAAATCATGTCTGTGACACTAAAAGTCTTTGTTAAATCACTTCTTCTTGTGCAAAGTTCATATGAAACACAAACATTTTAATCATCAAAACAGGAAAATGTCAAATGTGTCGCATAAACGAGTTTCCTTCCTCTGAACAAACAACAAAACTGTAACTGGAACAAAATAATGTACCAAAAAATACTCTTGGCGATATATCGATACAGCAGCCCACGATATCGACACTGTATCATCACATTATACGATACGATAAATCGATATTTTGATATTTTTGCACATCCCCTTAATTAAAAGGTTTTAAATTTGTTTTTTTATTGAATTTTAAAAACTAGGGGTGTAACGATCCAAGTCTCACGATACGATATTGTCACGATACGATATTTATTGCGATATTTTGTGGAGGCAAACAAAACTGTGAATATGTGATTTTTTCCTCTTAAAATTTCTACTAAACAACTAAGAGTTAAAAGTGTTAGAAGTGTTATTTCTTCTTGTCGTCTGAAATGGAGCAAAGGATCATGGGAAATGTAGTTCCTGATGTTTTTTTTATCTATCGCTGCACCAGAACTCTTCATTTAATCAAAGAGACTTGTGATTCGATATATTGTGATGCTCCACGATGTTACTGAGAGAACTTTGACGATACGATATCACCACATTTCAGTTTTCGTTACATCCCTATTAAAAATTCAAACGTAACATTTCATCAGCCGACGTTTAGAATAAAAATAATTCGAACATGTTTTTTCAGAGTAAAAAAATTCAAAGAGAGAAATTCAACGATATTTAAAATTCTAAATCTGATGAAACGAATGATCTTCCGCGACGAGCAGCAGAATCACCGTTTTTAAAATCCGCACATTTATAAAAGTTTATTTCAGAGTGACGTGAGTTCTTACTTTTTCAAAGGAGAAATCCATGAACTTGTCGGTCACAGAGTCGTAGGTTTTGGTCTGAAAAAAAAAGAAAAACACACAATTCTGAGTAAAACTGAATTTATGAAAGAAAATAATGTAATAAATGATCAGGTTTAACAGAGTTTGTACCGTCATTTCTCCCCCGAAACACTCGGAGGCGAGTTGAGCAGAGTCGAACGGCTTCACCTCCGCGTCGTTGAATAAATACCTGAAAAACACAGTTATTTAAAAACAACTGAGTCCTGGTTTAGTCCTGGTCTAGTCCTGGTCTAGTCCTGGTTTAGTCCTAGAGTAGTCCTGGTTTAGACCTGTTTTAGTCCTGGTTAGTTTAGTCCTGGTTTAGTCCTGGTTTAGTCCTGGTTTAGACCTGGTTAGTAGTCCTGGTTTAGTCCTGGTTTAGTCCTGGTTTAGTCCTGGTTTTAGTCCTGGTTTAGTCCTGATTTAGTCCTGGGTTTAGTCCGGGTTTAGTCCTGGTTTAGTCCTGGTTTAGTCCTGGTTTAGTCCTGGTTTAGTCCTGGTTTAGTCCTGGTTTAGTCCTGGTTTAGTCCTGGTTTAGTCCTGGGTTTAGTCCTGGTTTAGTCCTGGTTTAGTCCTGGTTTAGTCCTGGTTTAGTCCTGGTTTAGTCCTGGTTTAGTCCTGTTTTAGTCCTGATTTAGTCCTGGTTTAGTCCTGGTTTAGTCCTGGTTTAGTCCTGGTTTAGTCCTGGTTTAGTCCTGGTTTAGTCCTGGTTTAGTCCTGGTTTAGTCCTGGTTTTAGTCCTGGTTTAGTTTGGTTTAGTCCTGGTTTAGTCCTGGTTTAGTCCTGGTTTAGTCCTGGTTTAGTCCTGGTTTAGTTCCTGGTTTAGTTTCCTGGTTTAGTCCTGGTTTAGTCCTGGTTTAGTAGTTGGTTTAGTCCTGGTTTAGACCTGGTTTAGTCCTGGTTTAGTCCTGGATTTAGTCCTGGTTTAGTCCTGGTTTAGGAGGATTTCACACTGAGACATAAAAGAGTTTTTCTCGTTCAGTTTTGGTTAAGTTCTGGTTTAGTCCTAGTCCAGTCTCAGTTTTGTCCTCGTTTTGTGTTAATTTTTTCATCCATGATTTAATCCTACTCCAGTTCTAGTCTAGTCCAAGTTTAGTCTCAGTCCAGTCCCTGGGTCAGTCTTGGTTCAGTGCTGGTCCAGGTCATTGGTTTAGTCTTGGTCCAGTCCCTGGTCTAGTCCCTGGTCCAGTCCCTGGTTCAGATCCTGGTCCCTCAATACTTGTTCTTCTTGTAGGCGTGGTTCAGTCTCTGGTCTAGTCCCTGGTCTAGTCTCTGGTTCAGTCTCTGGTTCAGTCCCAGGTTCAGTCTCTGGTCTAGTCTCTGGTCTAGTCCCTGGTTTAGTCCTTGGTCCTGGTCCAGGTCCAGGTCCCGGTCCCTCACCACTTGTTGTTCTTGTAGGCGTGGTTCAGTCTCTGGTCTAGTCTCTGGTTTAGTCCTTGGTCTAGTCCCTGGTCTAGTCCCTGGTCTAGTCCCTGGTCTAGTCCCTGGTCTAGTCCCTGGTCTAGTCCCTTGGTTAGTCCCTGGTCCAGTCCTGGTCAGTCCTTGGTTTAGTCCCTGGTCAGTCCTGGTCTAGTCCCTGGTTTAGTCCTTGGTCTAGTCCTGGTCTAGTCCCTGGTCTGTCCCTGGTCTAGTCCCTGGTCTAGTCCCTGGTCTAGTCCCTGGTCTAGTCCCTGGTTCAGTCTCTGGTCTAGTCCCTGGTCTAGTCCCTGGTTTAGTCCCTGGTCTAGTCCCTGGTCTAGTCCCTGGTCTAGTCCCTGGTCTAGTTCCTGGTTCAGTCTCTGGTCTAGTCCCTGGTCTAGTCCCTGGTTTAGTCCCTGGTCTAGTCCCTGGTCTAGTCCCTGGTTCAGTCTCTCTGGTCTAGTTGTCAGTCTCCTGGTCCCTAGTCCCTGGTCTAGTCCCTGGTCTAGTCCCTGGTCTGGTCTAGTCCCTGGTTTAGTCCCTGGTTTAGTCCCTGGTCTAGTCTCTGGTCCAGGTCCTGGTCCAGGTCCAGGTCCAGGTCCCTCACCACTTGTTGTTCTTGTAGGCGTGGGGGTTGATGATGTCTCTGATGAAGCTGTAGTAGTGTCCTCCGTCCGCCGTCCCCGTGTGAACCGTCACCCCGATGAGGTCATACTCGTAACTCTCTGTGACCTTTGACCCCTTTGACCCCTCCCCTTCGTCACGGAAACCTGAAAAAAACAACAAACAAAAACATCAACAACAACAAAAACAACAACGACAACGACAAGAACCGAGTCAGTGAGTCGCTTCATTTGAGTGAGAATAAAGAACAGTGGTCCAGGTCCAAACCAGGTCCAAACCAGGTCCAAACCAGGTCCAAACCAAGTCCAAACCAGGTCCAAACCAGGTCCAAACCAGGTCCAGGTCCAACCAAAACCAGGTCCAAACCAGGTCCAAACCAGTCCAAACCAGGTCCAAACCAGGTCCAAACCAGGTCCAAACCAGGTCCAAACCAGTAAACCAGGTCCAACCAGGTCCAAACCAAGTCCAAACCAGGTCCAAACCAGGTCCAAACCAGGTCCAAACCAGGTCCAAACCAGTCCAAACCAGGTCCAAACCAGGTCCAAACCAGGTCCAAACCAGGTCCAAACCAAACCAGTCCAAACCAGTCCAAACCAGGTCCAAACCAGGTCCAAACCAGGTCCAAACCAGGTCCAAACCAGTCCAAACCAGTCCAAACCAGTCCAAACCAGGTCCAAACCAGTCCAAACCAGTCCAAACCAGTCCAGTCCAACCAGGTCCAAACCAGTCCAGTCCAAACCAGGTCCAAACCAGGTCCAAACCAGTCCAAACCCAAACCAGTCCAAACCAGGTCCAAACCAGGTCCAAACCAGTCCAAACCAGTCCAAACCAGTCCAAACCAGTCCAAAGGTCCAAACCAGGTCCAAACCAGTCCAAACCAGTCCAGTCCAAACCAGGTCCAAACCAAGTCCAAACCAGGTCCAAACCAAACCAAGTCCAAACCAGGTCCAAACCAGGTCCAAACCAGGTCCAAACCAGTCCAAAACCAGGTCCAAACCAGGTCCAAACCAAGGTCCAAACCAGTCCAAACCAGGTCCAAAACCAAGTCCAAACCAGGTCCAAACCAGGTCCAAACCAAGTCCAAACCAGTCCAAACCAGGTCCAAACCAAGTCCAAACCAGGTCCAAACCAGGTCCAAACCGGTCCAAACCAGGTCCAAACCAGGTCCAAACCAGTCCAAACCAGGTCCAAACCAAGTCCAAACCAGTCCAAACCAGTCCAAACCAGGTCCAAACCAGTCCAAACCAGGTCCAAACCAGGTCCAAACCAGGTCCAAACCAGGTCCAAACCAGGTCCAAACCAGTCCAAACTCTAAACCAGGTCCAAACTAGGACTAAACTAGGACTAAACCAGGTCCAAACCAGGTCCATGTGTGTATTCTAGTCTGTGTTCTTCTACTTGTTCTGATCCAGTTCCAGATCTTTCTAAAACATTTAACTTTTATACAGGAAAGGTTCAATGGGACTTTTTTTTAGTTTGATACTTGAGAAAAACGAGGATCTAGTTTTGATTCTCGTTCTAGATTTTGATTTTCATCTTTTCTCGGTCTCAGTAAACTCACTTGGGTCTCGTTTTAACCCACTGACGCCGGATGCGGCGCTGAGTCTCCTGTCCGTGTCTGGATTGTCTGTGATCAGTGTAACTGGTAAAGGCGGAGCCACATCTGGAAGCATGGGGGGCGTGTCCTCCTCTCGCTTCATTCACTCCCACAGAGACGTAAAACTGCCAGAGCTGCACTGTCACGTTAAACCAAGCCCCCAGGTTCCAAAATGGCCGCCCATTCAAGTCAATGGGCTGAGCTCAATGGCGCATGATCCCAGATTAGCCCGGCTAGGTACTTCCGGCGGCTGTGGGCCGACCGAATATGCCACTAGTGCTCTTTTCTCCCACGGGCACACGCGAATGCACGCAACCGCACGCACGTGTGTCACGTGATCGCTTTGACCAATCAGAGCGAGAGGAGCTAAAGCGGAGCAGAGCGTAGCCGACGCTAACGAATATAAACTGTTTTTTAAGACAACTGAAGGATTTTGAGCTGAGAAAAAGTTTATGATCTAAAAATAGGTAAAAATCGCCAACAAATCCGACATTTTTGAAATCTGTAGATGATCTGTCAGACGAACACGAGCAGTTTGTGATCACATTGCCTCTATGAGAAAAATCTTGTCTCAGCCCATGGGATTTTTTCTGCTGAAGTTCCAGTGAGTGACACTACGTCAACTGGAGGCAGCTACAAGCAACAATACTGTATCCAGTTATTTTAATAGATCCACGTGTTAAACCTTCTTTATCGTGGCGTATTATTTCTCCATTGAAAAATAATCCAAATGTGTCCAGCACATGTTTCCATCAAGACCTGGTTTGAAGTAACAAACGCAGCTCAAACACTTGATCTGTTCACTGCTCCAGACGCTCCTATAACAGGTGACATGTCACTATGTCATGTAACAAATAAACATGGTCAAACACAAAAATGCTGACAGTGACAATGACAGTGAAGACACGGACAACATTTTTGTGTTTAGAAGGTTTAACGTGACAGTGCAGCTCTGGCAGTTTTACGTCTCTGTGGGAGTGAATGAAGCGAGAGGAGGACACGCCCCCCATGCTTCCAGATGTGGCTCCGCCTTTACCAGTTACACTGATCACCAGACAATCCAGAACACGGACAGGAGACTCTGCGCTGCGCCGCATCCGGCGTCAATGGGTTAAACTCCAGAAGGATTTTTTTCAGCTCGTCTGTTCTGGGGTCAGATTTATTTTGTTTGAGGATTTACCTTCTTGGTGGTTAAACGTGTGTTACCTTCTTGGTGGTTAAACGTGTGGTTAAACGTTACTTCTTTTGTGGTTAAACGTGTTACGTTACCTTCTTTGGTTAAACGTGTTTACCTTCTCGTGGTTAAACGTGCGTTACCTTCTCTTGGTTACGTGTACCTTCTTGGTTAAACGTGCGTTACCTTCTTGGTGGTTAAACGTGCGTTACCTTCTTCGTGGTTAAACGTGTGTTACCTTCTTGGTGGTTAAACGTGCGTTGTTACCTTCTTCGTGGTTAAACGTGCGTTACCTTCTTCGTGGTTAAACGTGCGTTACCTTCTTGGTGGTTAAACGTGCGTTACCTTCTTGGTGGTTAAACGTGCGTTACCTTCTTGGTGGTTAAACGTGTGTTACCTTCTTGGTGGTTAAACGTGCGTTACCTTCTTCGTGTTACCTTCTTGGTGGTTAAACGTGCGTTACCTTCTTGGTGGTTAAAACGTGGTTAAACGTGCGTACCTTCTTGTGGTTAAACGTGCGTTACGTGCGTTACCTTCTTGGTGGTTAAACGTGCGTTACCTTCTTGGTGGTTAAACGTGCGTTACCTTCTTGGTGGTTAAACGTGCGTTACCTTCTGGTGGTTAAACGTGTTACCTTCTTGTGGTTAAAACGTGCTTCTTCTCTGGTGTTACCTTCTCGTAGTTAAACGTGCGTTACCTTCTTGGTGGTTAAACGTGTGTTACCTTCTTGGTGGTTAAACGTGCTTCTTGGTGGTTAAACGTGCGTTACCTTCTTGGTGGTTAAACGTGTGTTACCTTCTTGGTGGTTAAACGTGCGTTACCTTCTCGGTGGTTAAACGTGCGTTACCTTCTCGGTGGTTAAACGTGCGTTACCTTCTTTGCGGTCGCCTTTGCCCATGAGCACGTCCTCGGTGTACGGCGTCATGTCCAGCCGCAGAGGAAAGGAAAAGTGCGTGTTCACTTTCTCCTTCATCATCGTCACCATGTTGAACGTGTAACGCATCGTGTTAAAACTCAGGATCCGAGGAAGCTTCTTAAAACACGCCCTGAGAGAGAGGGAAGAGGAGAGGAGAGAGGGAAGAGGGAAGAGAGGGAAGAGGAGAGGAGAGAGGGAAGAGAGGGAAGAGGAGAGGAGAGAGGGAAGAGGGAGGGAGGAGAGGAGAGAGAGAGAGAAAGAGAGAGAAGAGAGAGGAGGTGGAAGGAGGAGAGAAAGAAGGAGAGAGGAGGAGAGAAGTGAGAGAGGAGAGGAGCAAGAGAGAGGAGGAGAGAGGAAAGAGAGAGGAGGAGAGAGGAGGAGGAGACAGAGGGAGGGAGAGGAAGAGAAGGAGATAGAGAGGGAGATGGAGAGAAGAGAGGAGAAAAGAGACGAGAGAGAGCAGAGAGAGGGTGAGAAGAGAGAGAGGAGGAGATAAAGAGGGAGAGAGGAGGAGGGGGTAAGAGAGAGAGAGAGAGAGAGAGGGAGGGAGTGAGGGAGGAAGAGGAGGTGTGGTTAGTCTCAGTTCTCAGGTTTTTTTCCTCTGATCAAATCCAGTTTTATTTGTGTAGAACATTTTTCTAAACGAGAGAAACAGTAAAACGTTTCTCCGTCGTGTCCGAGTCGTGATCGAGTCGTGTCCGAGTCGTGATCGAGTCGTGATCGAGTCGTGTCCGAGTCCTCGTTCGTCTCCGCGAGTCGCACTTTCTTGCCGCACTGGGAGCAGGTGTACATGTTGTCTCCCTCCAAAGTGTCTTTGATCGTCACTTCATCCAGAGACTCCTGAAATAACACACACACACACACACACACACACACACACACACACATACACACACACACACACACACACACACACACACACACACACAAACAAACACACACACACACACACACACACACACACACACACACACACACACACACACACAAACACACACACACACGAGGATCAGATCATCACCAAATATGAAAATCACAGTGATGAATGTAACTGTGGTTCTATGAATCCCAATGACCCCCACACACACAACACACAACACACACACACAAACACACACAACACACACACCACCTGAACCACCTGAACCTTTTATGAAACAAGTGTATTTTGCACACTTCCCTCAAACACATCTTAGAGCCAGAGTAAAGTGCAGACGCAGCGGAGGCACTAGAGCTTTTCAGTTTCAGGGTGTAAATCATAAACGTTGAGGTTCTTAAGAATAAAAGTGTTTTAAAGTGACTCACATAAATGTTCTTCATGTCGGCCACTTGGCACCGGACCGTGTAGAACTCCTCTGCCGTTTGACTCACGTGGTCACAGTCCTGGACACAAAACACCGACAAACACCGCCACTTTACACAGAGTCCACGGGTAAAGTTAAAGCTGCGCCGTCTAACTTTTTGGGTGGGCGTCCGTCACCTGCTCGTTTCTATGGATACGTCACTGCTCTGCCTGGAATTAGAGCTGCTCGATTATGGAAAAAAAAATCATTATTACGATTTTTTTTTTTTTAAGTTACACGATGCAGTTCTCTCTCTCAAAAAAAAAGTATGTTATTGATCATTTACACAAAACTTTTAAATTAAAAATAAATATAGGCTACAAATATGAACCGTAAAGCAGTTTTGTGACGTATAAAACAAAATGAAAATAAAATAAAGTTTGAACATGAAATAAGGCAGAAAAAACATAAATGTATCTAAAATAAACTCTATATCCAGCTCCTCTACAATACAAAAAAAATTAAATAAATAGACTTATTTATATAAAAATATCCCAAAAAATTCAATTAACTGCACAGCCTTACCTGGAATGTTCCACAGTGTGACTTTAAACAGCTCTACTTTACATTTGTCCATCTACAGGTGGTTTTACAGCTCAAAAATACCTAGAAAAACCAGACATCTCCACAGATCTGACCCGTAACTCGGTGTTTTTGGTCTCCGTGAAGATAGAAAGGTTTAATGCCACACTGCGGAACATTCCAGAGTCATAAGATCTCCACGGAGAAAAGCTTTTGACGGAAACCCTCCCAAAAAAAAATTTATAAATTTTTTTTTTTTTTTAAATGCATGTTTAAACACAATAATCCACAAACTCACCAGAGAAACCACGTTGTTGGTGATGACGCCTCCAAACAAAGTCTTCACTGTGTTTTTCTGAAAAGCAGCAAAGATTTTTCATTAAACTTAAACTAATCAGAGGCCACTGAGGCGGCACAGACGGAAATTTTAATTAAAACTGCTAAAAACAATGAGTAGGAAGAGGAAAAGTGTGTTTAGTGTTGAGTTCCAGTTTAATAATCAGACTTTACCAAGTCTTGGGACATCTCCTCGATCTTGGTGATGAGGTCTGTGAAGAACTCCGTCATGTCCTTCTGTTCTCCGGTGTTCAGAGGCTGTTTGTCCATCGTGTAGGTTTTACAGAACGGACGAGGGTTATACGCCTTCCTCTCGCTCTCCTGAAAGCAACGCACCAAACGTCACCAAACACAGTCACCAAACATGACAAAAAACCCTCACTAAACATCACTAAACACCATCAAATATCTCTAAAGATGACAAAAACTGTCACTAAACATCACCAAACACCATCACCACACGTCACCAAACATCACTAAAGATGACAAAACTGTCACTAAACATCACCAAACATGACAAAAACCATCATCAAACATCACCAAACATCACTAAATATCGTCAAACATCACTAAAGATGACAAAAACTGTCATTAAACATCACCAAACATGACAAAAACCATCATCAAACATCACCAAACATCACTAAATATCGCCAAACATCACTAAAGATGACAAAACTCGTCACCAAACATCACCAAACGTCACCAAACATGACAAAAAACCCTCACTAAACATCACTAAACACCATCAAATATCTCTAAACATGACAAAAACTGTCATTAAACATCACCAAACATCACTAAATATCGTCAAACATCACTAAAGATGACAAAAACTGTCATTAAACATCACCAAACATGACAAAAACTGTCACCAAACATGACAAAAACCATCACTAAACATCACCAAACACCATCAAACATCACTAAACATGACAAAAACTGTCACCAAACGTCACCAAACATCACTAAATATCGTCAAACATCACTAAAGATGACAAAACTGTCACTAAACATCACCAAACATGACAAAAACCCTCATTAAACATCACTAAACACCATCAAACATCACTAAAGATGACAAAAACTGTCATTAAACATCACCAAACATGACAAAAACCGTCACCAAACGTCACCAAACATGACAAAAACCATCACTAAACATCACCAAACACCATCATCACACGTCACCAAACACAACCAAACGTCACCAAACACAAATGTGACCAAACATAACCAAACATGACAAAAAACCCTCACTAAACATCACTAAACACCATCAAACAACTAAAAGATGACAAAAAACTGTCATTAAACATCACCAAACATGTCACCATTAAAACTCACGCCAAACAACTGATGACAAAATAAAACATCACCAAACGTCACAACATGACAAAAAACCCTCAACTAACATCCAACAACACCAAAAACCACCATCATATCTCAACATGACAAAAACTGTCATTAAACATCACCAAACATGACAAAAACCATCACCAAACGTCACCAAACACCATCAAATCATCACACGTCACCAAAACATCACCAAACATCATCAATCATCACACGCTCACGTCAACACAAAACGTCACAAACGTCACCAAACGTCACCAAACGTCACCAAACGTCACCACACGTCACCAAACATGACAAAAACCATCACCAAACGTCACTAAACATCACCAAATATCACTAAAGATGAAAAAACTGTCATTAAACGTCACCAAACGTCACCAAACAGCAAGTTTAAAGTCCCTGAGGTGAAACTCACCATGAGGTAGGTGAACATCTTCTGCAGCTCCAGCAGAGTCGTCTTGTGCTTGATGTCCTCTGCGTACTGTAAAAACAACAGGACAGTTAAAGACACACTGTGGAACTTTTCACAGCACTGCACACACAGCAGTACATTTAAACCTAAAGAAGCACGAGGAGCAAATGAAAAACGGCCGTCACAAAAATAAAAACTCTGAGACTAACTGATACGACCACCGATACTGAAACTAGATTTAGATTTGAACAAGTTTTGATACTGAAAAATAAAATGACACAAATTGGACAAAATCAGAGCTTCTGAAAAGTCCTAAAATAGTTTTTTTTTTAAATATCACAAGTATTATACGACCACATGGTAATATTCTAAAAAAGTACCATTGTTCTGGGTTGAAAATAATTAGAATTGAATTATAAACATACAGTTTTGTGGT